GGAGCAGAGAGCCCGATGTGGGGCTCGATCCCAGAATCCTGGGATCATGACCTGAGCCGAAGGCAGAGGCTTTAAACCACTGAGCCACCCAGGTGCCCCAGAAACTGGCTTCTTAATGCATAACAAGAAAGGGCCCTGGCATGAAACAAAGGGCGATTTTGGAGGAGCTGAGCTAAGAGGACCCTCTGAACCTCCTTATCTTCAAGAGGAGATGCCATCAGTCAATAAAGCGCCATTTGTTAAGCAGGAAAAAACAGAGGAAACCCTTTTTTGGTGGAGGCTGGGAGTGTGGGGGAGGGGAAGCCCGCCTCTGGGCGTTTGCAGTCTAACCTTGTTGTTAAAGGAAGGGCTTTCAGGGAAAGGAAGTGACTAGAACTTCATGTTTCACTGAGTCTTGTTCTCCGTGGTTTTCCAATTGGTCTCCCACAATGCCCTGAGGTAGTTAGAGTGACACCTGTCCCTAGTTTTACAGAGGGGGCAAGTGAGAGCAAGTGTCTTGCCTTTTGTTGAAGAGGCAGGGTGGCTACAGGCTAAGACTTTGGGCTTTATCCAGCTCCGCTCCAAGCAACTGGACCTCCCCACCTGCAGTCTTCCTGGATGTCAATTTTCTGAGCACGTGGGTTTGCCACTAATCTCCTGGCAAGTTCATTCCGGTCCAGGCCCCTTCCCTGGCAGAGAGGTTGGTGCTCACTTTGGAGTCTGAAGATAGCAGCCGCACCTCCCTGTTATCCCCCGGACCAGCGGCTTTGGGGTGCTGTGCTGCTCTCTCACAAACCTTCCTGGCACCAGAGGGAGACCCTTCTTGCTTCACGGGCAGGGCTGTTCTAGCTTTGCAGATCTTGGAGGTCACCAGCACAGATCCCCAAGGCCTGGAAAGTCTCCTGGAAAGGCTTTTAAGAACATGGCTTGTCAGCGGGGTCATCCCCTTACCTGCCTCCCCACCCCCCATGTTGAATCATATTTCTCAGGATGGGTCCCAGACATCTGGATGTCAGAGAAGTTTCTCTGATGATCCTGATTTTGCCAGACTGGCATTTGGAAGCCACTGGTGATCCCATTTTGTAGGGGGAGGGGAATTGCAATTTAGTGCCCACCTTCCTGCAGATAGGCCCCGGAATCCTACAAGCTGTGCCTGCTTAACATCTAAGCTGCAGATCCTTTGCCTGAGGCCCCATCGTCCTTCTCGGGCCAACTCCCCTTGTACCTGGCTTGTGCGAGTGTGAATATGGGGGTGGCATTGCCCCGAGTCTGACTTAGGGCAGTCCCGAGACCCTCCTGTACCCCAGAGAGAAGTGAGCCAGAGCATTTCCTTCCTGCTTTGCCCTTCCACCAGAAGCTCCTCATAAAAATCTGACCGATTACACTTGCGCCCTAGGAGAGAGATGGAGAAATGTCCTTTCTGAGGAAATTGGAAACGTTTTGACTTACGACTAAAGTAGGGAGACCCATTTATTTTCTGCTCCAGGTTTAGCAGAGCCTCCTGAATTTTCTTAAAGATGAGATCATTCTGCTCTTTGCAGATCGATTGCAGGCTCTTGGGCCTCTTAGCAGAATCCGAGCACAATCAGGAGATGAGTGGCCATTCTCCCTCCTTTGTATTTTCTAGCAAGTTGCATGATGGGGGAACAAATTCCTTTGCAACTGATGACAGGGATTTGTTGGGGGGGGGGAGGAAGGGCATGGTCAGAGGCCTCAGATGTCCAGCTCATCCAAGACCTTCATTTTACCCTCCAAAGAACAGGCTGTGTTTGGCTTATGCAAGAACTGAACATAATTCGCCCCTGTTTTGTAGGGTAGATTTGCCCTTTACTAGGGTAAAGCCGGTACCCGGGAGCTGTGGCGGCATTTGACATTAGCCAGGGCCAAGGAGGGCTTAGCTGCCTGATGCTCTTGGGGCTAGTTGTGAGGCAGAAGGCTTCAGACCACCCGTGAGGCTTGATCAGCCCTGTCCTCCTGTCCCCATTTTTGGAATGACACACAGTCGCCTTATATAAGGCACTTACATGTTTATTAGTTCCTCTTGACCTTTTTAAATGGTCTGGTGTTTATCGTCAGAAATAGGAAACCATGAATAACCTCAACCCACTCTTTCTCCTTCGCATTTTTGCTGCTTTAATGTTGCTCTTAAATACTTAAGAGATCTTACACAGGAAAACTGGGAGCAGAAGACAAAGGCCTTGCTTATTAGGAACCTCTGAGGACCCATTAGTGCTGATGAGCATGAGGAAACCTCTGTCTGCCTGATTGTGGAATTCCCAAGCCCCTCCCAGCTCCCCGTTGCTGGTTAAGCGAGTCTTGACTCGGGCTCCTCTTCTGCACCCGGTCCCAAACTCACAGCTGGATTTCTGAAGCTAAACCCCAGATCCTGTCCTTTGCAAATGTGGACCTTGCTCCTCACTGCCCGCCTGGCCCTGTGTATGGGATGTCTGGTGTTACTAAGTCTTCACATATTTCTGAGAAGATTTCTTCAGGGGCCTTAGAAGCCAGGCAG